AACTTCTTGATCGCCACCGCCACTTCGTCCTTGCTCACCAGGAGTTGCAGCCACATGTAGCAACTATAATCATCCACGAGCAGGAGGAAGTACCGCCGACCACCGTTTGTAGCCGGCGTGATCGTCCCGTAGAGGTCGCCGTGGACGAGCTCGAGAGCGTACTTCACACGATACTTGGCTGCCTTTGGGAACGGTAGCCTCCTTTGCTTCCCAGCTAGGAAGCTATCACACAGCTCGCCTCCGTGCTTGATGTGGGGTAGCCCTCGGACCATCTTCTCCAGCTGACCAAGCGCGTCGAAGCTGAGATGTCTGAACCGGGCATGCCACAGCCATGGTTCCTCGGTGTGCCTTGCCGCCAGGCACACCGACTGCTCTACCTTCAGGCCGAGCAGGTACAACTGGTTCAGGGACCTCTTCACCTTGGCAAGAAGTCGCTGCTCCTAGTCCCTGATCCTAAGGATTCTGTCCTTGATCAGTACCTCGCTGCCGCGCTCATCCAGCTGACCAATGCTGATGATGCTGGAACGTAGCTACAGGATGTAATATACATCCGTTAGCGCGTGGTGCTCCCCATTCTAGCACCTGAAGATGATGGTGCCACACCCTTCGATAGCCACCCTTGAGCCGTCACCAAACTTCACCGTACCGGTAATATCGTCGTCGAGCTCGGAGAAGGCTGCCTTGGAGCCCGTCATGTGGTTGCTGGCACTAGAGTCCAGGTACCACCGCTGCTCCTGGTCGGCGCCCACACGTCCAAGGTGGACTTGGGCACGTGGTTCGTCGAGGTTGACAGCCTTTAGGGCCTTCGCAGACCCTTCCACCGCCATCACCTTTACCTTCTCCATGGACTCGACGTCGTGCAGTGCACAGAATGTCACCATCAGGATAGTGGCCTCATCCTCATCGTTAGCTTGCGCTAGATGAGCTTCAGCCTTCTTCTCCTGCTTGCGATTTGGGCACTCCCGTGCCCAGTGGCCCATCTTCCCGCAGCATCGGCAGGCGTTGGGGTCGACCTGCTTCTTCTTCCCCGAAGAAGCCTTGCCGCGGCACTTGCCATTGCCACCGCGGCTGGAGGAGGCTACCTCGGAGTTCCTCCGAGCAACCCACTCCTCCTCTATCAGCAGCAGCTTGCCGCTATCCTTCATTGCTGTCGTCTACTCCAGGCGCTCGTCCACCGCCCGCAGACGGCCTGTCACATCCTCAATGGTGAGGGTGGATAAGTCTAGCATCGTCTCTATGGAGAGAGCGATCTAGATGTACTTTGTCGGCACAGAGTGGAGGTACATGGAGACCGCCTCCTCTTCGTTGATGGTGATGTCATGGCTCTTTAGCTTGTTGATGAGCATCTACAGACGGAGGTAGAACTCCTCCACCATTTCACCATCCTTGAACTTGAGGTTGGTGTACTCCTGCTTCACAAGCTGGGCCATTGCCTTCTTTGCGCGGTCGGAACCAACGTGCATCGCCACAATAGCCTCCCACGCCTCCTTAGCAGAGCTCTTCACCCCCAATGGCTCCCTATACTCCGCCGGTACAGCAGCGAGGATAGCCTCCAACGCTGACATGTCATCTTCCTCATTGTCGGTGCCCTTGTCAACAGCATTCCAGAGCCGTCGGGCTCTGAGCTTGACTTTCATGGTCACCGACCACTCTCCATAGTTGGTGCGAGTCAGTGTCAGCCAACTGGTGCCGCTGACCTCCCACACCATGCGAACAACTACCTCTGGTCATGGTTGGGCAGCCACAGCAGTGCCACTGCTGTCGCCCACTTCCGAACCGCCCATCATCGTCAGCGGTTAGTCCGGCGACGGCGCTTGTACGGCTCTGATACCACTTGTTAGCCCACAGGATCACCGGCTCAGGTGAGTTGACCACTCACCAGTCTTGCTGACCATGGCCAAGCACGACAGAGGCTGTCCGACCACACACACTATGGTCAGAGGTAGAAGAAGAGGGAGAACAGAGCACACACAGTAGAGACACCAGCGTTGGGCGAAGCCCTGTATAGGAAATAGCAAATCTGAACTCTCTTGGTTGAGTTGAGTGGCAAACTATATATACAACTCTATCCATCTACTTCTAGTACAACTGCCTTGCTGCAACAGTGACTAGATAACACAGCAGGACTGACTTCTGCGCCTGTCCCTGCATGTGGCTACAGTGCGACAGGTGAGCCGTTCGGCGCCTGCCTCTACAGCGGCTACAGTACCACAACAGGGGGTCTTTTCGGCGCCGCCTTCCCTTGCCGTGCGTTCATACAAGGAAGCCGTAGATTATTCTAACATTCTCTTGCTTCATTGTCTCTGCTTATTTTACCTTCGTACATCACGAGTCTGGATTTCCCAATGCCCTCCCTTCTCCGCTGCCCTAGGGCGCCGCCCACAAAGCTATTGTCCACCAGGCCGCTGCCCCATTTTTTGTATGCCACCCACCTAGGGTGCCACCCTCACCCCCTGTGTGTTGCATGACCCTCCACCACATTGCCTTGCCGTGTGCCTTCCCCAACTCGATGATCCCCCATCGTATGTCCAACCCATTCTCTCCGATCTAATCTACTACGACGCAATGTTGGGCACCAACTCTCTAACCTCCGACATTACCACCTTCTCCACCTCCGGTGCTAATGGCAATGACACCAAACAAACGTTAGCCCCCCTGCTTATCTCAACACGTACATTTCTGTCAACGTAAGACCCATGTGCCCATCACCCTAGATCTCTAGCACCCCAAATACTCTTAGTGCGCACAGTTCTTCTGCTCATTGTGCACCAAGTTTGGGATTCTTCCATCACATCAACAACACCGCCCAACCCACCTGGCCTCAGGCTGATGCCTCTGTGTGCAATTGGATCTATGGGAGCATCGCTGACGACGTCCTCAACCTTGCCTTGGAGCCCGAATAGATGGTGTGTGCCCTCGGGACCGCCGTTGATGGCCTTCTCTAGGGCAACAATGAGTTGCACGCCATCTTCCTACACCATGACTTCCACTCGATGCTCCAGGGGACCTCTCCGTCATCGACTATTGTAAGCACATGAAGGTCCTTGCCGACTCTCTGCCACACTGTCTCCGAGCCTCAATCGGTGCTCCACCTCTTATGCAGGATCAAACCCCAGTTTTCGACAACCACAGATGCCCTGTTCGGAGTTGCACTTCTGCCCTCCATTGCCATTGCCATGGCTTGGAACACGCTCATCCTGAAGGAACTACAGCTCACCAACAACTCGAATGTCTCCTCCCAGTCTACCCTTGTCGGAACACACTCCCCGAGAAACAAGATATACACTTATTTTAGAACGGAGATACTAATAGAGTGTTAAAAAACCAACATTGAAGTTGTGATAAACAGTGACACACCCCACGTTTTTTTCAACTACTCCCTTAGTCCTAAAAATAATGCAATTCTCGCTTCACATAAATTTTAATAATTTTAAATTTGATCAAATTTACATATAAAATACAAACATTTTATGGTACCAAATAAGTATTATTAGATTAATAGAATATATTTTCATCATAAATTTAATAAAAAATTAATAAATATTGATGTTTTCATAAATTTAACAAAAATTTTGACTTATCTAAAATCTATAATTATAATTTTTGTGAAAGGAGGGAGTACACACCAGTTGCCACCTGGCCGCTACAGGTTGCACCGCCTCGTCATCCATCGCCACCACGTTTGTGCATCGGCGACAAAACCAGGTCTACGAACATTAAAGGGAAATACTAGCGCCCGGACGTCCGGATATAAGCAATTGATCCGGACGTTTCCGCTCTACCCATCCCACCCCCGCGCTCCTTACCTTTTGGATCCAAAGGCTTCCACTACGCTCCTTCCCTTTCGGATCCAGAGGTTTTTGCTCTACCCATCGCATCCCAATGCTCATCTCCTTTCAGCTCTCTCCTTTTTGCTATCATGCAATAGTAAAGCACAAAAATGGTGGTTATGCTTTCTATAGCGCTTGCAGACACCGCACCTTGCCATACGTGAAGGAGAAAGACGGAAAGAGAGACAAATGTATCAGATGTTAATCATTGCTTGCAACATTCAAGAACAAAGGTTTGCAACATACTAAAATCTCATGTAACATCCGAAAAACATGTTGCAACATCTTAAATTGATTGTTGCAACATTCTAAAAACATGTTGCAACATCTCAAATGCACTGTTGCAACATAAAAAAAATATGTTGCAACATCTCAAATCGACAGTTGCAACATCAAAAAAAAATGTTGCAACATCTTAAATCGACTATTGCAACATCCATAAAAACATGTTGCAACATCTCAAATCAACTGTTGCAACATATCAAATCGACTGTTGCATCACCGCAAAATCAAATTTTATGCTGAGTGCCATAAAACATGTAACATCCAAGATTGACTGTTGTAGTATATCACATACTACAACGTAACCCACCGTAGAGTGCAGATCTTGTTGCACTTGCCTGTGAAGGAGCCCGACCACCATGGCGGAGCTTGTCGCCAACGAGGCCACACGTACCTCCAGCGTGTAGTTCGTCGTCGAGAGACACTCGACCATGGAGGATTTTATAGCTGAGAAACACCTCACCATAGAGGTGTCCACTTAGATCCACTTTGCCGCCATGGAGGCAAGGTAGGAAGGCGAGCAGGTGCAGTTAGCGGCAAGAGAGAACAAGAACGGGCGCGTGCGGGTGGGGCCGTGAGGGAGGAAAGCAAGGAGTAAGGCGGTCAGCCGCATCGGGGCGACGAGCAGCCGCGTTATCATCAGGGAGACGGGAAACCACGTGAGTAAGACGAGCAGCGGCGCGAGAGAGAAAGACGAACACTGTTGAACCGCTAGCACGCTGTATAGATCCGGTACAGTTAAAAAAGCGTCACATACGAAGAGGAAACAGACCGGAGCATTTCCGGATATTAAACAGGACCAGTACGTTGTGTCCTCTTGTCGATCACTCGGTCGTTGCCAACACACTGGGCCGTCCTCGAGACGCGCTGCAGCTTGAGCCAGCAACCATGGCGTACCGGCCAGACTCCGAGGCGCCACTGCTCGCAAAGGCGGACCACGCTGGCCCGTCCATGCCGGCGGCGGTGAAGTGGAACAAGTACCCGTTCTTCTGCGCCGTGCTCGCCTCCATGACCTCCGTCCTCACAGGCTACAGTACCTACCCTCGCTCACTCCATTAGCATCTCTGCTGCATACACATATGCATGTAGTACGTGTGTACGTATGCTGAATTCCTCACCCACGCCACCATGTCTGTGATCGGCGGCAGACGTGGCGGTGATGAGCGGCGCGCAGATCTTCATGGCGGAGGACATCGGGGTGACCGACACGCAGATCGAGGTGCTCGCGGGGGTCATCAACATCTACTCGCTCATCGGCGCGCTGCTGGCGGGGTGGACCTCTGACCGGTACGGCCGGCGCCTCACCATCGTGCTCACCAATGTGTTCTTCCTCGTCGGCGCGCTCACCATGACGCTTGCCGGAGGGTTCGCCGCGCTCATGGTTGGCCGGTTCGTCGCCGGCATCGGTGTCGGGTACGCCTTCGTCATCGGCCCCGTCTACGCCGCCGAGATCGCGCCCGCATCATCCCGCGGTCTCCTCACCTGTCTCCCCGAGGTATTAACTGAACCCGATTATTCACACAAATTGAGTATTGAGCTAATGAATTCATTTGATTTTTTTTTTGTGCTTTATATGTTGCTTTCTTTCTTGTTGACCTTTCAAAAGATTTTTTGTGCTTCGGGGGCGATGCTGAGCTACGTGTCAAACCTTGTCTTCTCGGGCCTGCCAGTGCACCTGTCATGGCGGGTGATGTTCGGGGCGGGGGTGGTGCCCACGGTGTTCCTGGCAGCCGGTGTGCTCACCATGCCGGAGTCACCGCGGTGGCTAGCCATGAAGGGCCGGGTCGCCGAGGCGAAGGCTGTGCTCCACAAGACGTCGGACACGGCGGACGAGGCCGACCAGCGGCTGCTCGAGATCGAGGAAGTGGTCTCCAGCGGCAACAGAGGAAGCGTCGACGGCGAAGGCGGCAGCAGCGCCAGCGCGTGGAGGGAAGTGGCGACGAAGCCCGGCGTCCGCCGCGTGCTGGCCATGGTGCTGACGCTGCAGTTCTTCCAGCAGGCGTCGGGCATCGACATGATGGTCCTGTACGGCCCGCGGATCCTCGCCACGGCCGGCGTCACGTCGAGCACCCTGATCCTGAGCCTCAACATCCTCTTCGGCGTCGCCAAGGCGGCGCCCGTTCTCATCACCATGGTGCTAGCCGACCGCGTCGGCCGCCGCCCGCTCCTCCTCTTTAGCACGGGAGGCATGACGGCGTCGCTGCTGCTCCTGGGCTCCCTGTTCGCCGTGGGCACCAAGCACGACGCCGCTGTCGCCGCGGTGAGCGTGGCAACCGCGGTGGCATACGTGGTGGCCTTTGCCCTCGGGTTCGGGCCCCTGGCGTGGGTGTACAGCTCAGAGATCCTGCCCCTCCGGCTGCGAGGGCAGGGCGCCGGGCTCGGCACCGCCATGAACCGGATCATGTGCGGCGTGGTCATCATGACCTTCATCTCGCTCTATCAGGCCATCACCATGGCGGGCGTCTTCTTCCTCTACGCCGCCATCGCCGCCGCCGCGTTTGTCTTTGTCTACCTGTGCCTGCCGGAGACGAGGGGCCGCAGCCTCGAGTACATGGAGGAGCTCTTCCACACCAAGTGATTATTGTGGTGTGATCCAACCGCCAATTCAATTTAATTCATTATCATTGGAACCGCCACGGTTGGAACTCGTATTAAATTTGTATTATTGAGTACCAAAATCACCTCTTGAAGTAGAAGTGAATTCTCCTTTTCTTTAACTGTCAAATGGGGTGTGGGGTGTGGGGTGTGGGGTGTGGGTGTGGGTGTGGGTGTGGGTGTGGGTCTTGTTAAGAATATTCTAATATTCCTAATAATCAATTAGTGGGCAATTAGCAACTACTAATTGCAGTTACCGTGACTACTGAAAAGACGTCGTACGGACGGGACGTGGGAGCGGGGCTCTCCCACGTTCACTGGAACTGCCCCATCGTGGGCATGTATATATATGTGTACTGTTCATCAATAAAGATTTACACCTTCACTTTCTACTGTTCAGGATATAATACTACAACACGTTATCAGCGTTCTACCGCTGAGCGAGAAGGCCGGGAACAGTGCCTGAAGGACTTCGTGAAGACAGGAGATCGCTGGATCGATTTAAGGTACACGATGCCACCAATGCCCTACGTACCTTCTGCGGCGCTCGTTCTGCGCCTCGTCTTCATGGTGTACTACCGCGCGCGCCGCATTGGAGTCCCCTTCGATGACGACGACATCCGTGATTCCCTCCTCAACGCCCTGCGCAATCTCCTTGGGGAGGAGCGTGGGGAGCCAGGAGGGCCTCGCTGCGTCGCCGACGCCGTGGTAAATCACGGAGCATCTCGCTCCCGTGGCGCCGACCCAAGCAGCGGTTACAGTCCCTGCGTCCTGGAGTTCGGGCCATGCCGTGGCTCCATACCACCTACCATGGCCGAACATGGCGCCGGGATCCTCCGACTGGGTACCAGTGGCGCTCGCCGCCATGCCACCAGTCGCCGGACCTTCTTCCTCGACCGGTGCGGGCCCATCGTCTTCGGCTCTAGCGGCTTCACCTCCACCGGCGACAGGGTCGGCTACCGCAGCTGCGACCCCGTTGGCCAACGGAACCGCTGCAGCCGCGACTCCGTCTCCGACGACGCCACGGGTTCGCGTGACCCTCGCTGCGCGCAGGTCCGCGGCACCGCTCCGACTCTTCTCCAGGGAGGCCGGCGAGATCGTAGATCCAGCCCTGCAGGCTCCGCCTCCACCACCTCCGTCCACTCCTCCGGCAGTGAACATCGCCGACCAGGCGGTGAGCCCGACCATGCGTCGGACCTGGATCTCCGTGCCGCATGGCCCGTCCGCACGCGCGCAGGCGAGTCCTCGCGCGAACGGACGCGTCCCGGCGCTGGAGAACGGGCACGCTAGTCCACGCGCGAACGGCGATGGTGGCGCTTCCTCCTCCTCGGGGGGGCGCGCCCCTCCTTCTGCTTGAACTTCTACCGGAGGGGGAGGGGGAGCCGCTGGCTTCTGTCTTGGTCGCCATCGACTGAGTTGGGGCCGACGTGCGGGCTCCTCCCCGATCTGCGCCGGTGCTCGTCACCGGCTGCAGAGGGCGCGACGGAGGGAGAGGAGGAGGGCGCGATCAGCGTGCGCGCGTGCGCTGCGGACCAGAGCGGCGACGGAGCGACTACCGGCGCCGGCGGACCGGCTCTTGAGCGCGCGACGGCGGCACGGCTTCCGGCGCGGCGGCGGCGGCGGCCACCACCACCGTGGCTGGGTAATGGTGGCAGTTAGGGTTTGAACCCTAACTTCCCACCTTTTATACGGGCCAGGGGGAGGCCGGTGGGGAGGCGCACCTGGGCCACTTCGGCAGCCCAGGCCCAGGTTGGCCTGCCTCAGCGCCGGCTGTACTGCTGGTCCTTGCTGGGCCGGCTGCAGTGGCCTCGCGGGCCAGCCAGTGCTCGTGGGCCAGAAGCCATTTATCATTTATATGTTTTATTTCCGAATTTATGAATTTCAGCAGTTTTAGTCTTTAATCCTTGTGTTTAGACTTTGTTAATTACTGCTGTTCATTAGTATTAGTGTCTATGCTCTTGTGAGATTAGACATCTGATGTTTATGTGAATGTACAAATGTGTTTGTTTACATTGTACCTATGCAATTTCGAATTCTAATATAGAATGCAAGTATGTTCGTGTTATTATTTTGCACTTTCATACTTATTTTATTATTGCGAATTTTTAAATCACAAACTCCATCTTAACACTGTTCTCATTAGTTTATAATTACTGATGACTTGTGGCAATTAATTTATGCATATCTCTATTATTTTGAGATGAAAGCATTAGGTAATAGAGTCCAGGCAAAGGCTGCATTTAATCCTTTTGGATTATTTTGCCCAGAGACCGTGCCAGGCTGTGATTTATTCACCTATTACTAAAGGTCTACATGATGTCCATTGGACTAGATGATTACCTATATAATGTTTTGTTCTCAAAATAAAAGATTAAGACTAAAGAAAATTTATGGCTTACACTATTGTAGTGATTACCATTGTTTAATCATTAATTTATACTATACATGGTGTAGTAGAGACTTAAGCATTGGCTGCGTCTAATTCAAATATGAATTATTCAGCCTTGAGACCGTGCTTAGGCAGCAAAGTATTTGCCTACTATTAAGATCTACTCTATGTCCTTTGGCATTTGAGATTATCTAACCATATATAGTCAATTGATGAGAGTTATAATTGGGGTTTACATGTTTATTTGTCTACCTTGGATTGTATTAATCATGATGAGTTATGTCATTTAAATTAATTTGCATTTATTACAACATTGCTTTACCATTTGAATTTTAATTTACCACGTGTAAGTATAATGAATCAAATGGTCCTACTTTGTAGGCTATGGCCTTAGCTAGGGAGTTCGATGAACTTGCCTTAGATGGCCACAATTACCCTACTTGGGCTTCGGATATCAAAATAAACTTTGCATCCCGTGGACTTTTGGCACATATAAATGAACCCATTGAGGGGGAGGTGCTTGATGAGCAAAAGAAGTTCGGGGCCTTAATGATTTTAAGGTATTATATCCATAAGGATCTCAAACAAGAGTACCTTCTGGAAGAGAATCCCCGTACTTTGTGGCTTGCTCTTAAGGAGCGTTATGATCAGCAAAAAGTACTCATCTGGCCTGAGGCTAATCATGAGTGGAACCACTTGCGTTTGCAGGACTTTAAGTCCGTTGCTGATTATAATCATGCCGTTCATAAAATTTGCTCAAAGTTGAAATTCTGTGAGAAAGAGCCAACGGATGCTGATAAGATAGAGAAGACTCTATCTACCATGCTTCCCGCTGACCGAGTCTTGCAGCAGCAATATCGGGCTAGTAATTACACTGTGTATTCTCAACTTATTCATACATTAACTCAGGCTGAGAAACATGATGAGCTTCTTATGAAGAATCATCACAAGCACCCCACTGGTGCAGCGCCTCTTCCTGAAGTTCATAATGTACAGAAAAAAGTTAAGAATAATAAAAGGTTCAAAGGATCTTCTTCTGATGATCCAAAGAACAAGCCCGGTAAGCGCAAGTTCAACAAAAAGCAAAAGCCAAATGCTAAAAACAAGCAAAATGGCGAGGCTAAGTCCAAAAATGACACTAAATGTCATCGATGTGGTACTTTCAATCATTTTGCAAAGGATTGTCGTACTCCTAAGCACTTGGTTGCACTTTACCAAAAGTCCTTAAAGGAAGCAAAGCAAGGCAAAGATAAAGAGACAAGATATGAAGCTCATTTCAATCTTGCTTCTGAGGCTATAAAGGAAGTGGGTTGTTCAAGCAAGGTTCTTGAGGAACCAAAGAACAACAATGCTCACAAGGATGAGAGGCTTCCAGGAACGGAAGACATGATCGTGGAGTTCAACTCAAATGACATGTATGGAGACTTCAACTGAAGATCTCGATCCGTAGTTGATATCTGTTTAATTATTATGTTAAGCAAGTCAAGTGTTGTAATAATTTAAGTTGTGCAAACTCTATGTTCTTTGAGTTGTACATACTTGTTAGTGATGGGAGTATTGTGAGAATAAATATGTATTGTAATGTCATACTCATATGTTGGTATTGTAATACATTGTGTTTATGTATGTGATTCTATATGTTCAATAAGAAATTTTAATTGCATTCTTATTTTACTATAGATGTCTTCTGATGTCAATCCTGAGGAGGAATTATGTCTTGTAGATAGTGGAACCACAAACACTATTCTTAGGGAGATGAAATATTTCCAGACTCTTAGGAAAAGAGAAGGAAATGTTATGACCATCGCTGGACGTGATGCTCTAATAGTTGGTTCGGGTAGAGCCACTATTATTCTCCCTATGGGTACGCAATTAACGATAGAGGATGCATTATTGTATCAAGAATCAACTCGTACCTTGTTAAGCTATAAAGATATCCGTAAGAATGGTCTTCATGTTGAAACACATGTAGATAACAAAGAAGAATTCATTTTCTTCACTAGACTTTATTGGATCTAACAAACAAGTTTGTGAGAAAATTCCTCCCTCGAATCTGGATTGTACTATACATACATAAAACCTATATCTAATGTTGCATATAAGGTAATTTTTCAAAATGTTAATTCATTCCAGACATGGCATGATAGACTAGGTCATCCTGGAATAGGGATGATGAGAAAAATTATCGCAATTCATTTGGTCATAATTTGCATAAAGCAAAGTTCCCATAATCTTCGGATTTTATATGCCTTTGCATGTGCATCGGAAAATTGATTTTAAGGCCATCAACTCTTAAAATCGAATTTGAACCACTAAAATTCCTTGAGAGAATCCAAGGAGATATTTGTGGTCCAATTCAGCCAATATGTGGACCTTTTAGGTATTTCATGGTTCTGATAGATGCATCTACAAGATGGTCTCATGTGTCATTATTATCGACACGCAACCATGCTTTTGCCAAAATATTGTCCCAACTAATAAAGTTGAAAGCGCATTATCCTGAACATCGAATTCAATCAATTCGAATGGACAATGCTGCTGAATTTTCATCCCATGCCTTTAATGATTATTGTATGGCAACGGGAATTGAGGTT